GACATTAGCAGGAAGGTATGGCTTCACCTTTGCTGTCTGCCTTAAATGATAAAACCTGATTGGACCACTGCACTCACCTGTCTGTAAAGATTACAAGAACCGTCTAAAAACACACCAAGGTTTTTAACACGGGGTTTTAGAAAACCAGAACAAGGACCAAGAGGACCAACAGCGTTGTTTAAAAGATTAGAACTTTTTTTTTATCTCATTCAGTTTCAGTCTAGGTCACACCTTCCTGCATCTAATCAACACGATGACTCACCATCAATAGAGGCCAACCACTCATCAGGAGATGGAGAGGCGGGGTACTCAGAGTAGTTTCTGCTCTTTGAATAACAACAGACAGCTACAGTTTATGAGCTTGACTCTCCCATATTCCAGTTAGAACTGACAATGCTCCTCAGAGGAGAAGTGAAATGTTTTAAAGAAACCAAAGAAGTCCAGTTGCCTTCATCTGAACTCGATGGAGTAATAGTCAATAATAAAAAATACATAATAAAGTAATAAAACGTATATAATTATGCTCACATTCACTTTTACCATCTCTTTGTGGGAGGCAGAAAATTTATCACGGTTAACCCTCTTATGACCATAAATATAACAAGTATTTTTTTTATGGCTTTAAAATTGTAATAAAAGTGTAAAATGTTTGTAACTCTGCTCCTTTTTTCAGAACAACCTCAGCTTTCAGTGTCTGGTTTGTATTTGTGTTTATGTTTATTAAAGTCCGTAAAACTGCAGCTTAAATGAAAAAAAAAAACAGATTTGAATTTTTTTTACATTTATTACTAAACAGGAACTTCTAAATGACTCGAGCAAACTATGTCAAAAGAACTATTTAAACTCAGAACTGCAAACACTCAGAAAACAGTGTGACCCCTGACCTCATGTTAACCAGTTTAATGACTGCAGCCTGTCTGTGACCACAGGTCTACGCTCTGGTCCAGAGAACGGGATACAGTAAAATAAATACTAGGTATCATAAAATAACACTCATGGGCTACTTCACAGCTGTAGCTACATTTCTACCAGCATTATGAAGATCAATAAGCAGATAAAAGGTTAAATGTAAACATTTCATTACAAAAAGTAAACTAATAAAATTCTGCACTGATAAAATGATATTTTCAGCTAAATAAATATTTATTGTACGTATAAATAATGCTGGAATGAAGCTGAATCATTTAGTAAACAGTTGAGTGTTCAAATAAAAACCAGTGTGACTTTAATCTGTCCCTCCTCATGTCACCATCTACAGAAACAGCCTTCTGGGACACCTGACCAACCAGGTGGATTTTATTTGTGACGTTTCCATAACTTTATAAAAGCTGCTGATGAAGATGATCAGATCATCTCCTCCTTTCGGTTCTCGCTCTCCCCTCGCGGTTCGCTCCGTTTCTTTCTGTGATGCTGCAAAGCTGGTTTCCTTCTTATAGCGATTTTTGGAGTAACATGAATTACATCATGTAATACCTCGTTGGAAAGCTCGTTTTATGTACTTTTAGAACCCGCTGGAAGGATTTTTATTCGATTAGTAATTCAGAAGTTATGGCCCGGAGAATCTAGAGTGAGACACATCCGTGATTCTTTGAGTTTCTGCAACACTTCAGGAGAAGTCTCTCTCATGTCTCATTTTCTGTCCCAGACATGCAGCTACCTGACTCTGCTCCACACACACTAACCACGGACTCAAACGCACGTAAACAAAAGCTCTGATATTAAAATCTGTCCAGCTGACGTGAAGCAGGCAGAAAAAAAACTTACAGGTAGATGAACGCAGACTCCTGTCCGCAGGGAAAACACCGGTCTGTCGTCTCCATGGCTACAAGGTAGAGCGACAGCAAGGACAACCAATCACAGGTTAGTATGATGTGGCAGAGCCAATCAGTGAGCTTGTAGGCGGGTCTAAGGGAAAATAGCCTTCAGCTTGAGGCGGCTGCCTCCGCAGGGTCCTAGTGCCCGATTTGTATCACAGTGTAACAGTTTTGTACGGTAAAATCTGCCGAACGACTGGAAAAAGGGCACTTTGGGCACTTCGGACAAAAGGGGCAGGGTCTCAAGCGCCCTCCGCACCCCCCTCTGCACGTGCCTGTCATCAACCCTAGGTAGGGGATAAGAATCAGACACAATTACTGCATTAAACTTTCTGTAATCAGTACTGAAACCAGGTGAGCCATCTGATTTGATTTCAATGACGCAAGGTGAACTCCATGACTGCAACTGGGAATGTCTAATCCATGCTCTATCAGGTAGTCTGTTTCCTGTTTCAGCAGTTCACGTTTCTGAGGATTGGTTCTGTTGGGGTGCTGCTTAATAGGTGTTTGCTGGACCGTCACCTCATGACTCAGCACAGTGGTCCTGGCAGAAATATCAGAAAACAGGCACAGGTTATTGTTTATCAGTTCCATCAAGTCACATTTGTGAGACTCATCTAGATGGGCCAATTCCTCATCAAGATGTGAAAGCACACGAGAGTTGTAGAGATGAGGGCTAAATAACTGGGGTAGTCTAGGAAGCATGTCATCTTCCTTAACAAGTAAAGGGTCTGCGGCTGCACACACCGCAGTATTACCAGGAGGAATCTCTAGGATCTGTAAAGAATGGTACCATTTCAACATGTTAACACGACATGTACGAGTACTGAGTCTGCGAAGAGGTGCCTTAATGACATACGTTGTGTCATTTATCCTTTTCTGTATCTCAAAAGGACCTTCATACGTAACTGTCAGTGCACGACCAGGAACTGGATTTAAAACTGGATTGGCTGCACCTGGCGGTAAGGCGTTTCCTGTTTCCTGTTTTCAGTGTTGCACTCCGTGTAGCTGTTTGGTGTTTGGGGCTCGCTAAAGCTGATTTAATTTCTCTGTACTTGGATATCTCTGAGTTATTGTAGCACTAAAGCACGCTAAAACACACATTTGCTGTTGTTCCACCTAGCTTTTAGGGAACCATTTGAGTTTGCACGCAGTTTATTTGGTACTGAACAGTTTGCTCGTCCAGTTAGCTTAGCCTCAGCACGGCTATGGCTACTTCTGTCTCTGCTTCTCCATCTCCTATCTCTTGCTCTCTGTGTCAGATGTTTAGTTACTCCTCTGCCTCCTTTAGTGATAATGGTACGTGTAATAAATGTAGCATTTTTGTAGCTTTGGAGGCGAGGGTGTCGGAATTGGAGGCCCGGCTCCGCGCTGTTGAAAAACCTGTAAACAGCCGTAGTTACTTAGCTAGCGCGGGGCTAACTAGCTCAGAACAACCACGTAGCGACCCTCCAGTGGAACCCGAGCAGCCGGGACCTCAGGCCGGCTGGGTGACGGTACGCAGGAAGCATAGAACCCAGCCCGTGGGCCACCACCAACCCGTCCACGTTTCTAATAGATTTTCCCCACTCAGTGACGCACCATTCTCTCTCGGGCCAATACGGAGACGTTGATGCATGCTTTTATCACCAGTAGGATAGACTACTGCAATGCCCTGCTTTCTGCTCTTCCCAAAAAGAGCATCTCAGGTTTACAAATTTTACTAAATTCGGCAGCTCGTGTCCTGATGAAGACCAGGAGGCGGGAGCACATGACACCAGTTTTAGAATCATTGCATTGGCTCCCCGTATGTTTCAGGATCCATTTTAAGGTTCTTCTAATGGTTTTTAAGTGTCTTAACGGTCTTGGGCCTTCTTATCTCTCAGAACTGCTTTTACAATATGAACCCTCGCGGCCTCTGCACTCCTCTGGCAGGCGTCTCCTGGTCATCCCTAAAGTCAGGACACACACTCACGGCGAGGCGCCCTTCCAGTGTTATGGCCCTCGCCTCTGGAACGAGCTGTCAGAGGACCTCAGGGCCTCAGAGAACGTTCATGTTTTTAAGTCAAGACTCAAGACCCATCTTTTTAGGTTAGCTTTCATCTAAATATTTACTACAGTTTTATTTATTGTTTTACATGATTATATTTTATTACTTGCTTAGCTATGTTCTATATGATTATATTTTAGCACAGTTTTATTATTTAAATTATTATTTTACTGTCTATATGATTTTATTTATTACTTATTTTCTAATTTTTGTCATTTATATTAGCTCTTTTATTACATTTTTACTCATTTTAATCCAGTGTTTCCTCTGTGGGGGCCCTCTGCCCCGGGAGCGGTGGTCGACTGTAGCTTCCTGGGCGCTCTATAGGTGGGGGTCTATGCTCCCCCTCCACTGAGCGCCCTGACTTAGTGTGGAAGACCTGATGCTGCCGGGGCAGACGGCTCCTCTGATGGCGTTTCCTTGCGTTAACATACTTGGCTCATCTGGACTCAGCCTAATGTAATTTTTACTTGTGTGTGTGTGTGTGTGTGTGTGTGCGTGTGATTGCATATGTTTGTTAATGTTTTCAACCTGTTATGGGAATCTGGGGTCATTTTGTAAAGCACTTTGAATAACACTTTGTTTGAAAAGCGCTTTAGAAATAAAATTTGATTGATTGATTGATTGATTTTTACTCAGCTAAAATAAGAAACTTTTAAAATAAATTGGCTGAGTAAATCGTGACTAAAATGAAAAAGAGTTTTAGTCCAATGTCTAAAGTGAAATAAAAATTTCTTGTCAAAACTGTTTATTGATTTATGTTTTAATTTTCCTGCATGCCACCTAAAATTCCTGCACATGAGCTCAAACATACGTGTGTTGTTGGGTTTTGCTTCACGTTCGACCGACTTCTGAATCTTTAAGGAAAAAGACTCAAACCTCGGGGCAGATGGCGGTGTTATCGGGGGAAGTTACGGTTACTCCAGAGTTTTCCAGCCTGTTCTGGGTTCAGAGTCTGAGAAGCGGGCTCACGCTACATTTGCGTCTGAACCATGAACTCATTTCAATAACTGTCCTGTCACTGAGGCAACTAGCTGGTCGAGGCTGTCAGAGAATAAACAGAATCAAATAGACCGGGTTCACTGTTAGAGCTGAAAACAACCTTCTGGTTCGTGTAAAATGAACAAGAAAGAACAAGAAATTAGATTCAACAACATTTTACACCACTGAGAAAATCCAGTTAAGCAACCTGGTAACTTTATTTATATTCAGATATACTGAAACAAAGCAGGAAGACAGATCCAGTAAACATTTGCTACAAGACTGAGGTCACTGGTTTTACTGGTCCAGCTCCAGGGTGTTTGTGAGGTCTTTGGGTTCTGCTCCCTGACAGGTATCCTGTAGAAAACAAAGAAGTATGTTATTTTGTGCATTTAGTGAAAAGAAAGCGACGAGGAAACCCCACTGAGCTGTGATTACACAGGTCTGTCTTCAGCCACAGACTCGGGCTGGAGAACCAACAAGTCAAGCTAGCAGCTGATGTCCAGCATCTACAGGTGGTGTTCCCAGCCTGAGAAGCACACACGAGCAGCGCCGTGGCTACATAATGTTTTAGTGACAAAGAACTCTGATTTACATCAACTATTGATGATTATAACTAACATTTAAACCCAGTTGGTTGCTAGTTCAAGCCCAGGCTCCATCACTGGTCAGTGGTTGTTCCCTTCCAGAATTTAACCTGGGCTCTAGAGCATCTGTCTTACAGCTGTGTGTGTCATCACTAGGCCACTCTAAAGCCTGATTTGTACCCGTCTACCAGCTCGGAGCTGCGCCATGTGTTGACCCTTGTTGCCTGGGGATTTGCTTCAGAGATGACGTCATCAAAGGATGCCGTGCTACTTTGGTGCACTGTTTTGCTTTTGTGTGTCTGGAAACTCTTGTGGATTCTCATATATCAGGAGCGTGAGATCGATAGGCGGATTGGTGCTGCGTCTGCAGTGATGCAGGTGTTGTACCGGTCTGTCGTGGTGAAGAGAGAGCTGAGTCAGAAGGCGAAGCTCTCGATTTACCGGTCGATCTACGTTCCTACCCTCACCTGTGGTCATGAGCTTTGGGTAGTGACCGAAAGAACGAGATCGCAGATACAAGCGGCCAAAATGAGTTTTCTCCAAAGAGTGGCTGGGCTCTCCCTTAGAGATAGGGTGAGAAGCTCAGTCATTCGGAGGGGCTCGGAGTAGACCCGCTGCTCCTCCACATGGAGAGGAGCCAGTTGAGGTGGCTCGGACATCTGGTCAGGATGCCTCCTGGACGCCTCCCTGGTGAGGTTTTCCAGGCACGACCAACCGGGAGGAGACCTAAAGGTAGACCCAGGACACGGTGGAGGGACTATGTCTCTCACCTGGCCAGGGAACGCCTTGGGATTCCCCCGGAGGAGCTGGCCCAAGAGGCTGGGGAGAGGGAAGTCTGGGCCTCTCGCCTTAGGCTACTGTCCCCGCGACCCGACTCTGGATAAGTGGATATGGATGGATGGATGGATGTGTATGCCTGTCCATGCCGAACCCTAACCCTGTCACCCTCTGTGGGCCTGCCAAAGAGCCCTTGTTAAGGATTATATATCCCTTGTTGGATAAACTGTACCCTGTACTCCTGTACCCACGAAGAGATGGAGAAGTATAAATCAGGATTGCTTGGGAGTTTTAGTGCCAGAACACCAACACTCAGTCAGGCTGATCTGAAGTTCAGTAAGGTAAAAGCACCACAAAACCCTTCATTTTCATACACACTAGTGTAATTACCTCTGACTGCTGTCACAGCTGATATTCAGAGAGTTCTTTAGCTAGCTGAGAAACCTTCTCATTCTGTGATGTATTCATTCTAATTTCCAATGGCTTTGTTTAGGAATCAAGATTTCTGACATGTTGGCTTGTTGACTCACCCCGAACGGTTCCTCAAAGGCTTTGGAGCCGCCGTATAGAGGGTTGGGGATGGAGAACAACGTGGGACTGGTAGTATGTTCATCTTCATTCTGTCATAAAGGAACAGCAGCAGTAGCTGTTAGCAAGCAGCAAGATGAAATATATGGATTTGACATTATTTAAACCGTAACAAACTGGAAAAGAGTAAAACATGAATTGACAGCTGTTGACATAGTATGTGTGTTAGATAGGTTGGTGGTGACAATGAAAATCAATTGGTAAAATTGGATCCAAACGGGGACTTCCATTGGGGTACGTAGACCGAGATATAATCTCAACGCGTAGAGCGAAACACCATTTCACTCCCACTCAGAACTAATAGTCTCTCTGGATTTGCTGGTTCTGAACATATTTCACACACACACACATCCTCAGTCTTACTCCACCTTAGTTCATCATACACACAGTGTTTAAATTCCACAGTGATCTCGCAGACTCTTTTGTGCTTTCTCGCCACAGACCGTGAAACTAAGGAGATTGGGGTCCTGATGCAAGTGCTGCTACCAGATGGGGCATCAAGGTCACTCATCTCATCCCTCCCACTGCTGTGGAACTGCTGAGCGGGGCCACCACGACAGCACCATCCTCATGCGAGCTCACCGAGGACGGCAGATAAGTAAACGATCTGCCTTAAGCTTGCAGGGTCCACCATACCGCTGCTGATGTTTGGTGGTCGCACTCTGCCCTGGAACCGCCCCTCAGCATCTGACGGAACGAGTGGAAACAGCAGCAGATGGGGGAGCAACGGAATCGACAACTGGTGGTTGAGGCTCCTCCTGAGCCCGTCCACACGACACTGTAACTGCCTCCAACAATGTCACGTTCCAGCGCCCCAAATCTGCCGTCTGGTTTCATGGCTCCCTGACCAAGAAGACATCCCCTCACCGTCCCAACCGTCAGAGGATCCCACGTTGCTATAACAACATCAAAGTTGCTGACACATGCCTTTTGCTCAGGATGGCTCTCTCTCCTGCCACACAACTGATGTGGCCTAAAGTGCGGCTTGGCTCCCTGCCACCCGCCTCACATCGCATGAGGACGGCATCCCTACGAGGACATTCGAGCTGAAGTACGAGAGTCTGGGTCTTTTATGACCTTTTGCCCCTTTCCACCAACAAAAACCCAGCCCCTCACATCGACGGCCCCACCACCAGGATTCATCTGTATCATCGTCGACGAAAGTGCAACACCATCCCAACGTAGTCTTCATTGCTCTGCCCCCCTACAGTCCCTTATAGTCCCAACTGATAAGCCCTGTGACCCTCGGCTCTGCCCCAATTAGAGCTGCTAAGCCCCCTGACGCCTCCCATGTGTCATAGATTGGCTGTCAAAAAAAATTGGTATCGGTTTTTGTGACAATGTTTGTTGCTGTTATCTTTATCATGGCCATGATTTACTTAGTTTTATGCTGTGTTTAAGCCTTGTTTGAGGCAAGGGAACGGTTGACAGGCTCATGACAGATGCCTTAGTTCATATTTGTCCTAAGAAAGCTTTGGTTCATCTTTTTCCCCAATAAGGCTGGTTTCATCATGGTTCTACGATGCAGTTTCTGTAACCATTGTTGAGTGATGTTCTGGTTATCAGCTCAGATGATTTTATTATCCTTTATTTTTATCTGTATATTTTTCTCTTAATCAGTATATTCATTATTATAATCGTCTTAAAATCAATCATCTTTGATCATTTTTATACTCATCCATTTTATTTCAGGTTGTTGCTTATTTTACAGCCTTTTTGTTTTGAGGATCGCTAAATATTTGAGAGGGTGCTCGCTGCAGAACTACAAAGGCGGAGCTGCACCATAAGGTGGAGCTGCACCAGAGTCAACCCCGCCCATTCACGCAAACTCAGCCTAGCCCACTGACTTCCGTTTTTGTTTTCAACTTTATCGCAAACTGACCTGACCCACATGAATTACGGCTGTTACTAGTTTACAGTCGTTAATGCTATGTTCTGTGCTCCAATTAAACAAGATAAATATAACTTGCTACATGACAAAGTCTGAATATATCCCGAAATAAAAAGGTTTCTCGTAGCGAATATCTGCCCACAGCCGCTCTAACAAAAGTCCTGTACAACAGCATGTACCCTTCCTGTGGGTTCTGGTAGTCCAGTGGCAAGATCGTCTGACTAACGTTTTGCTTTCCCCTCAGCTGATGCTGGTTCGATTCTCGGTGGGGTCGGCAACAATCTATTCAGCCAGCTGAAACATTTAATTTGTTCATATTTTAGTTGTAATGTTCATTTATAGCAAAATATTTATGTCTCTACAAGTTCTTTGAATTTGGTCGTTCCTAAACAGCATTTTAGTTGAAACTCTGCTCACAGATGGACTCACACTGGCTAAATAAACGAATGAATAAATAAAAAAAACACATTAGTCATTATATGTTAAACGGCATACCAATAAATTGTTGTAAACATAGTACTGGCAAGTGTAGCTAGAAATGAGGAAAAGAGATTATAGAATATTTCCACTGCTGGGAGGCGAACCTGCGCAAAACTGCATGTCAACCTGACACCATTACCACTACACCACCACATCTGATAAAAATCAGGTGGCGTTACATTTTATTATGTTATTTGGTGTGTCTTTGTAGATGGGATGTATGATTTTTCTGGCGGTGTCTCAGTAGAAGTCATTTCAGAAATAAATTGTCAGAAAATTCACAGAATATCCAGATTTGAGAACCAAGACCAGACCCACTTTGGGGGAGGAGACCAAATTGAAGCTGAGATGGGAAGAAAATGCATGAATGAGGCCAAAAATGGCTTTGGCGTGTTTCTTATGAGGAAATGACAATATAACATGATTAAAAGTTCCAAAAGTTAGATTTTTAATTATATGGAACCTTTACAAAAACTGTTCAATTAACTTCTCAACTCCCTCCTCAATCTTGCATTTTTTAGCTATAACACCCTCTTTGTTTCCAGAATGCTATCAAGTCTGACAACTGGAAGGAATTGGACTGACTCCGATAGGATGGGCGGGGCTGATTCTGGAATGGGCGGGGCTGACTCTGGTGCAGCTCCACCTTCTGGTGCAGCTCCGCCTTTGTGGTTCTGCAGCGAGCACCATTTTGTGATCTTATTGGTGTGTTAGAGGTCGATTCTTGTACTACAAACAGTCTACCTTGATCGTGGTCTTGTTGTTGTTTTATTCTGCTAATCATAGAAGATGGACTACGTTTCCACAGGGAGGATTGTTAGGTTTGTTGAGCATTTCCAAACTGTTTAGCATCTTAATCGTAGTTCTGTTACTGATGATGGTTGTTTAGGATGAACTCCGTTTAAAACAGGGAGGAAATGATGGGTATAAACTCATTTTGACCTCACCTTGTTAATAACTTGTCTGTGTAAACATCTGGTGTGTTTTCAAACGGAGGTTCATCAAACTTATTTACATTTAAATTGTTGCAGGAAGGCTGACCTCGCTTTGGTACCCTTTATTATTAGAACTTCCTGAGCCAGACCAATGTGTTGATTATGGCCAGCACCTGCAGGCACCTTCTCAGTGCTTCTCGGTTGACTGTCTGTGAATAATTTGTGTGTGTGCTTATCTTTAACTTTGTGTGTGTGTTCCTGAATAAAACGAGGCTCCAGGCTTTGCCTGATTGTGAGAGCAAACTGACCTCCTGCTGGTGTGTATTGATTTCTCTCACCCTTTGCAAAGTATTTGTTGTTGTTGGTTGTTGGCTGATTACAGTTTACCAAATTATCAATCTAATCCCTGTAATCTCAACCAGCAGCCGGCAGAGCCCCGGGAGGTGTCAGCGACAAGCCCACAGGCCCGCCTTTGAGCTTTCACTAACCAACAAAAGGTTTCACAAGTCATCAGCTGTCCCTTACGGATGCTGCTGTTAATGTGGGCAAATCTAGTCTGGGGTTTGAAGTTTATGTTTATTTATGTGGCAGACGCTTTTATCCAAAGCGACTTACAATTTATACCCTATAGGGCGTGTTGTGATCTGTGGGGGAAACCGGAGTACCCGGAGGAAACCCACGCATGCATGGGGAGAACACGCAACTCCACGCAGAATGGCCGCAGCCGAGTTTTGAACCTGCAACCTTCGTGCTGCGAGGCAACAGCGCTAACCACTGCGCCACCATGCAGCCCACATTTGAAGTTTAAATGTGCTAGTTTTGGAGCTGGAATACTTTTACTGAGGTTTAGATGCAAAACGATGCTGAAATGTGTGTTCTTTTAACTTTCACAAATCAAGTTAAGGTTTCATAAATAACAATCTATGCTATAAGGGTTCTGTTAGTAGTTTAAAAGAATCTCGGTGTTGAGTTTTACAAAAAAAAATAGACCAAAGATGTTCAGGAAGTGGAATATTTGATCAGAAACTAAAAAGGGGACCCAACCACCTGCATGTTTTGTTTACTTTGTGTAATAATCTTGTATTTTTATTTTTTATTAAAATAAAGAAACTGGAACAATCACCATTTATCTTTGGCACCATCAAGCAACTTCTGAGTAGCAGACAGGGTCAAGGGCGGAAATAGGGGGTGGCATTTTGGGCCTGGATGTTTTCTGAAAAGCCCCAAATCTAACTTTTACTTTTGAAGGATAAGAGATAGCTAGAAGTGACATGCAGGACCAAAGTCCAACAGAGAAGGCAGTTGCGTAGAGTAGCCGGCTGGAGTCCTCCAACAAGAAGCGGCTTTCTGCAGCCTGCATGCTTCAGATGAGGTTTGGAGTGACCTGAAGTTCAACAGCAACTGATTCATCTTGCAGAGACATGACTAGATCACAAGCAGTGTTTTAAATAGTATCGACTATTGCAATTCACTTCTTTATGGTCTCCCCAACAAACTCCTTCATAAACTGCAAATGGTCCAGAATTCAGCAGCCCGTATTATCACCAGAACCCCTTCCTTTCACCACATCACCCCGGTTCTCCAGCAGCTTCACTGGCTCCCAGTTAAATTCAGGTCCATCTTCAAAATTCTCCTCCATACCTTCAAAGCAATCCACAACCTCTCTCCTCCACATATCTCAGACCTTATAAGTATTCACACCCCGTCCCGTTCAATCAGATCTTCTTCTTCCATCCATCTTGCGGTTCCTTCTGCCCGTCTCGCTACCATGGGGAGCAGAGCTTTCAGCCGCTCTGCTCCCCGTCTCTGGAACTCACTTCCCCCAGACATCAGGAACATCGACAGTTTTACCCTTTTCCAATCAAAACTCAAAACACACATGTTTAAATCTGCTTACAACCTCTGATTTTATTGAACTGTTTCTCTCTTTGTTTTTTTCTTGTTTGGGTTTTATTATTGTTTTATTGTATTTTATTACGTGTTTTCTGTAAAGTGACCTTGGGTGTCCTGAAAGGCGCTTTGAAATAAAATGTATTATTATTATTATTAAATGGCTGAACACTTTAAAGAGAAAAGCTCTTACTTTGAAATAATGAAAGCGGAAGACATCCATCTTGTTTGTATAGATGTAATATCCAATTGCAGTCAATGCACACACCGACAACATTACTAATATGGCCAACACGGTGCTGGTGGCTTGGACATGGCGTCGAGAAGCACCAGGGTCCATCTGGAAGCAAACAAGATAAAGAAATGTGTGAGATGCATCCTAAAGTAATCCACACGTCTGCAGTTGTTATTGACATAGAAGTCTGATGGGTTTCTGTTATGTTCTAATTTGGTGTCCTTCTTGGTGACCACCAAACATTTGATTTCAAAGTCAAAGGTCAAGTCAAGTCAAAGTCATTTATTGTCGTTTCTACCACATGTGCAAGACATACAGAGAAACGAAATTGAGTTTCAGTACACACAATTCAGAGATCAGATACACATGGGCAAGACACATGACAAGAATTGGTGACTGCGGTCATTCGCAACACGAGTCGCGCTACCTTGATAGATAGATGAGGCTAAGTTGGGGGAGGGGCATACCAGCATTACACCCGACAGGGTGTAGCTGGACTATGCAAAAAAAAAAAAAAAAAACACCTCAAACATAAAAGCACGAACTTCGACATTCACAACATGAGACTCCGTTAGGGAGGGGGGTTGGGGGGGGGCTGGGATCCTGTTTATCCAGGGCCAGCAGCCATGTGTGGCGCTCAGCCAGCTGTATCCACAGGAGGGAGAGAGATCTTGGGAGGAGCATAGAGCACATCTCCTGCAGGTTGATGGCCTCGCTATGAAGTCCACAATCTGAAGGCGGGGGGGGGGGGTAGGACGGGTTTCCACAGCATCTGTCTGCATTCCTTCCTTCGTGAGGGTTGTTGTTTGCAGCTTCAATGCTGCCTTGGCCTCATGTTAGGATAACAAGACTGTGTTTGGGTCAGGCAGAGATAATTTTCCTCTCTGCCTTCAGTCTGTAACTGGTCATTCCAGTCCTTCAGTGAAGCCAATTCGGGTGATTAAACATCTCCACACCGTCCGGTGACCCTCTCCGAGATGACACCCATTTTGCGCACTAACACGGTAACGCAGCTAAGACATTGTCCAGCTTACGATTCACCTCGAGTAACGTCCCAGTCTGTGAGGACTCCGCCCGGACGGTGCTGTCCGTGGGTGCGGGTCGCCCTCCAATCGCTCCCGTCTTCTCCAAATTTCCAGAAAACCAGATATCCTCCCACTCCAATCAGAAGAACTCCAGCGATCATCAGGCCGAACATCCACATATCTTCGACGTCCTCGAAGGACAGCTGGGAGAGACAGACGACCTTCCACACCTTCCAGGAATCGAGCATATACCCCGCTGCTTGTGTCCCATGAGGGCAAGTGGGAGCCCCCTTCTCCGTTCTCATCGTAGAAAAAATCTTATCGATCGCGTTCAATGACCAGTTAATTAAATCCATTTCTGAAAAATAGGGATTTCCAGAGGAAATGCAGAGAAGCGCTCTGTAGGCAGACTGGACAAAAGAGCCTTAGGAAAAAAGATAAGGGATCAAAGCAGAAGCGTCTGTGCTCTGTGAGTGCTGGACCTTCAGAATGTCTGGAGAACTGTTAATCCAGAAGAACTTTAACAGATTTAATTCAATTCAGTTTATTTCAATAGCACCAAATCACAACCAGAGTCGTCACAAGGACCTTCACACAGTCAACATTCCAATACAGGTCAGGGGTCTCATTTATCAAGCTTGCTTACGCACACAACGGGGTCGGAAAACTGCGTGAGCAACTTTCCACGCAAACTTTGGGATTCATAAAAGAAAGCGTAGCGGAAAAATGTGCACAACTTTAAGTTGACTATGGACCTGGCTTACGCACATTTTGGACATGGAGAGCACCTGCATTTTACACAGAACGAGACCCCCCCCACACACACACACACACCAGGTAGTTTTTCTATGGTTACATTGTGATTTCTTAGTAAATATTGTATTTGGCGAGAGATAAACTTTATTGTATTTATCCTAGTGGATCTATAATTAAACGGATAAACTAGCAGTAGCACATCCAACGTCAAATAAAGTAAAAGTTATTATCAGGAGAGGCCTTTGTCTGTGGTGTAGGCTTCCTTCTAACTCAAAGGTCTGCTGGAGGGTCACCACAAGCTCCACGAGAGCTCATGCTCAGCCTATCCCAACAGCAATGGCGACACATAGAATATTTCTCTGAATAAAGGCTGTTTAGGGATGGCAGAAAAATGTTGTTCAAGAGTGGCACAGACTAAAGGTCCCTTCAGCTGTTTTCAGCAGCTCTGATGTCCGCTTAACTTAGACATCAGTAACAACCAGGGACAGGAGTTGTAAATTAGTGCTTGCTATAAACATCTTGTACTACGCCAGACCCCAATGTCCCTGTCAAATAAAGATCTAAATGCAATAGAGTGGGTTGTCTAGTAATTGGAAGGTTGTAGGATCGATCTGCTGTTGTGTTCTTGGCAGGACTGATGGCATAGGGACTGGCGGTGCCTCTTCTCCGCTGCCTCGCCTCTGTCAGTGTGCTCCGGGGCAGCGGTGGCTTTACTGAAGCGCCTTGTGACTTTTACCTTGAGAAGCACTATATTTAAGATTGTTTCCTCTCCTTGCTGTAGCTCATCACCACCAGCGTGTGGTACGCTGTAGTGTAAAGGGCTTTGAAGTCCTCTGACCGAAGGCGCTATGCAAGTGTGGGTCATTTATTATTATCATTTGAAAGCAGCTGTCAGAAACATCTCAGACGTAAAGCACGCTCACTGACCGGTAGAGAGGGAGCAGTCAGTGGCGCCTCGATGACGTGGATGATCCCGTTCACAGCAGGAATGTCCCATTCCAGCAGCAGCCGCTGGTTCACTAGCGTACAGCTCTGGGGAGAAACAACACAACATCAATACTTTTGCAAAAGTGCTGCAATACTCTTTCTGTACTGCCTTATTTTTTCCTCGTCTAGTAGAATCTCACTTTAAGGCTCATTTTTATGTCCTGGTGTTTCAGCAGTAGGCATCACAACACCGCCTTGGTCTTGTTTAACCTGCTTTCATGATTGTTTATTATTTATCTTAATGTTTCAGGATTGTGTTTATGTTTTAGATTCTGTGAATGATCCACAACACTAGCTTTCATTTATATTGTGTATTCAGCACCTTGGTGTCACGGTCTGGGTAACTCTCCTGAGCTTCCTTGCAGGTGGGTGTGGCTGAGATTCCCCAGCTGTTGGGCATCATCCCCATCAAGGCACCTGTTCCTATTTAAGGAGCAGCGTAACACCTCTCCGCGCTGGTTCATTACTCTGTTTGGGTAGATGTGTTTACCAGTCCTGCACTCAAACTCAAGTGTTAACCTGCTTATCCTACTCTGCTCAGGTCCTCGTCGTTTCCACCATCTCCTGCAAACAATAACCCTGGATCTTCACGTCACCTCCTGCCGCTCCATTCTGGTCGCCCGCTCTTAGTCCTTCTCGTTGGATCACCTACTCACCCAGACCTGACTACCTTCCCCCCTGCTTTCCATCAGCCTGAAGAAGCGTAAGCCACATAGACGGTCATCACCTGTTCTCCTCCCTAGATCCGTCTCGCTGAGCACTCGTCCCCTGAGTTCTGCCGTTATTCCTGCTACTTCCTTCAGTTCCTGTTTATTCTCCCCTTCCTTTAATCATTTTATAATAAATCTTACCTTCTGTCTACGCGTTGTGATTCTGCATGTCATGGGTCAAACACCTTGTACCCAACATGACACTCGGTAGAAGGTGCTTTATGAATGAATGAACTCGACTATTCTCTGTAACTTTCTGCTCATATTTATTCTGAGTGTATTCAGCGGTTTTAGGTGGGTTTTTTACCCTGAGTGTGTACACATGTAGACTCATAAGTGTGTAAGTTTTGTGCCTCACCTGATGTGAACTGGGATTTACCGAACAAACCTTTGTGAACCCAAAAGGATTCTAATATATTTCCTCTGCAACAGTCATGCTGCTAACAGAGTCCTGATCTAATGCCATCATAAGGTCACCGGCCAGTGATTCCTTTGGCCAGTCCCAAGTCCAGGTAAATGAACAGGGCTGTGCTAGTGTGATATCTGTAGAGAGACCACACTTTTTCTGTGTGTCCAGACTATCAGCACCTTTTATTTCTTCTCCAGCTCTCTGTGAACTTACAACAAACATGGCTACGTACTCTTCTGGGAGTCTTAACTACAGTAAAAAGAACAATTGGAGCCATCAACATAAAGAAAGCTGCTGGTATTCTTACAGAATACGTCAGGAAATGCATCCGACATTAAACCTAAGTCACATCAAACACGAGCATGGTAGGAACCAGGATGGCAGCAAACCAGCAGGATGTGTTCAGTGGGCGCTGCTGGCTGGTTTGCCTGATGTAGTCATTTTCTAAAACTATTTTCTACAAAGTAATAATTTGAAGCTTTAATAATGGATCCTCTTGTCCCTTTGCTTCAAAAACAGTGAAAATGACAACGACTCTCAGAAAATTCAAGCACATCTGTGGATGCTAGGCCTGGTGCGTCCTCAGACCAGAGTGCGTCCACCTTTATGAGCTGAAGATGGCCACCGCAGAAAACTCTGACTTTCTTATGAAGGAATTAGGAGTAGGGATGGGCATCGAGCATCGATTGGAACCGGGACCAACTGTTTTTCCTGGAATCATTCAAAGTTTTATATTTCGATTCCTAGTATGTTGACCGGAATAGGAATCCGCGGCCGAGCTCCGTGATCAACGCTTTTCAGAGCTGATCACACCAGCTGTCTGTGTGCAACCCCCCCGATATAAACAAACGCGTCTGCCGAACTTTAACTCCGTAACGTAAACTTTAACTCCTGCAGCGTAGAGGAAACGTGTTAAATACGTCAACACGGTGGATTTACTAGAAGCTTTAAAGAACAAACTCTGGATGGTGTGAGGCGAGTTTGTCTCACTGCAGAAATAAAAACACACACGGAGCGTCAGCAGTCAGACGCAGCCGCTCACCAACACTCGTGTGTGTGTGTGTGTGTGTGTCAGAAGGCTGAACAATAACCTGTAGAATAATTAAAGTCATCGTGCTAGAGCAGCTTCTCTGTGGTGGACCACACCAGCTTCTACCACAATAAATAATGAAAATAATAACAATAATAATAATAATAATAAATAGCAAATAATTTCCTTTCTGAACTATTTGTTTTGAGTTTTAATGTTTAAAATCTGTTAGCTTGTTACTGACAGCAGCTACGTTTAAGTTTCACTTCCTGTTGTGACTGAACGCTGCTGCAGCATGGAGGTGTAGTTCTCAGTCATCCTGGACATGATCATCCTGAGAGTTTTAGCTGAAAACAGCTGGACGTTTCTGGATATGTTGGAGACATTTAGCTTCTCATCCCAGAGGCTTCTTCCACACGTTGGTTGTGGTCAGAAACAAACACACTGGTTGTGCTGCAAGTCGTCTTCTTTTTGTCTCCAAAACATGTTTGTGTCTAAATGAAGGTGATGTTTCCTGCGATGGACTGGCTCTCTGTCCAGGGTGTACCCCGCCTGATTGCCTATTGACCTCTGGAGATAGGCACCAGCCCCCCCCCCAACACACACACACACACACACACACACACACACACACACACACACACACACACACACACACACACACACACACACACACACACACACACACACACACGACCCTACGTGGACAAGCGGGTTCAGAAAATGGATGGATGGATGAAGGTGATGTTATTTTTCACAAAATTAAAATTCATGTTGAAGTTTAGATTATTTCATCAAGTAGGACCTGTGGTTAGCTGGCTCATGTAAAACATGTCATGTCTTGAAAGAATCGGAATCGGGAATCGAAAGGAACCGGAATCGAAATGAGGAATTGGAATCGGAATCAGAATCGTTCAAAATCAAACGATTCCCAACCCTAGTTAGGAGCGGTGAAATCTGAAATTGTAAACAACACCACAGCACTTTTCTCTTAGTCAGACCAAGTCAACGTGTTGTTTTATCTACTTGGTCGGATTAAGATGTCACCCTAAGGGTTCCAGTAAGTGAGTTGAAGATGGAGTTAATGAAGATAAAGGTGACATATGAGGATGTGGAGGGGCGTAAGAGGAGATGTAACATTTAACATTCAGAGTTCCAGAGAATCCAGACTTTAACTCAACCGCAGCTGCTAAGATGCTAACAAAGGTGCTAGAACTTGGGCACACATTGTTCACCAGGTCAAAACAGCACTGGCAGTAGGGTAAAGTTTAATGTTGCTAAATTATATCATTATCAAGACTGAGCTGAGACTCCATTTGATTTTAATAGTGCCCCAATCTCCATTCTCCCAGAGCAGTGCTTTAAGTGGGCGACAGTAAGCAGTACCAACACCTTTGCATTCTACCTCTCAGTGTACCAGGCCTTGTTCTCCAGTGTATGATGGATACCAGTAATTTTTTGGTCAGTTATTAGTCAGAATCTCCAAGATTTCAGAAAAAATAATTGTTCATCTTCAAGTAAACACCAGCCAACCACAGCCCTCCCCCCTAGTGCCGCTGCCCCCTGCAACACAGAACATGTGCTTTAAGACGGCCCTCTTTAGCGCTTATTATAGAAATTTTATATTTTATTGTTTGATCATTAATCCTATTAACTGAATGTATTATGTATTACTCTATGCCTGAATGCATTCTCGTTCATTCATACACACCAACACGTTCCTGTAAACACACACACACACACACACACACACACACACACACACACACACACACACACACACACACACACACACACACACACACACACACACACACACACACACACACTCCTGTCTTATCTCATGTTATAAATAAACTGGAAGGGCAGCACCTTGTTGCAGTTGTAAGCCTCAGCCTTTGAGCATCTGTCCTGATTTGCAAACAGCAACTTGTGTGGTTATTTGTCTCTCTTTTCTCTTTGCTGCAGGTATTAGGTGATTGATAAAATCCCTATCATAATTTGGTCCTTCGAGCCGGATCCCGGGTTTTCTGTGTAGGCGCCAAAAACCACCGCCAGACACAACTGTTGCAAAAACTTCAAAACCCTCCAGTGCTGTCTTTCGCTGGAGGTCGGTGCTCCAAATTCGGTGTGGGAGAGGACGCCCGTCCCACAATATCTGTTTATCGACCTTGGACTCAAACTGATATAGAGCAGGCAGCTAAAGGCTTCACCCCATACAATGATGCCATACAATGATGACATTGAACAATTCTCCTCTGATTTACATGAGTTAAGAAACGGCTTTGGTCTGAATGGTTTAGAAATCATGAAAGTTATCCAAACTGCTTTGGGGCACCGTCGGGGCAGAGTCGCCGGAGGCTATACAGGTCATGATGCAGGTTACCTGCTGGATCTGAGGATCTGACAGCTCAACTAGATCTTTTATTGGACAGATTAAAGGCAGCTTTCAGAAAAACTGCTGATTATGGTGAAATCAGCAAGGTTAAGCAGAAACCTGATGAAACCCCCTCGGACTTTTAAGCAGGCTATAGCTTGTGTTCGAATACAATTCAGGCATCCCTTTTAGTGCTGATGAGAAAGAAGCTTATCAGCAAGGGTTAAAATAATGTTTTTGGATGGGTTGCTACACCCAGTTCATAAATTTGTAGAGAAATTTTGGGTCCACAAACCAAGAGGCTGTTGCAGATGCAGTGGACCAATTACGCATGCTATGACAAACATGACCTCGACCAGTACAAACAATACATTCCTTAGCCCAGATAACATGGTAGCACATGCAGGATATCAGTCACGTTTTGTACCAAGAGGCAAACGGAATCCCAGGCCCAGAGGCAAAGTATTCTATAATGGCAGAGATGCGATTTGCTGGAACTGCCACAAGAAGGGACATCTAGCTTGTAACTGCATGTACAATTCATCAAATAGCACTGATGACAAGCTTATTGATAATCCAAACTAGAGCCCTGCACGGGCCTAAAATCTGAGCCCGTGTCCGGCCCGGCCCGAGGGGTGGAGCCCCAGCCCGACCCGGTCCGAAAAGGTTTTCAGGATTCTCTGGCCCGGCCCGAGCCCAACTTTTTTTTCAACCAACTAAATGAAAACAAAGTGCGTCAATCCTGACCAATGTGTTAAAAGACGTGCAGGATCCGATCAATTTGTGTTTCCCTCGTTTACCGTCACGGAGATGACGGCGCACTGGCTCTGGTGGTAATCAAGTTAAATTTTATCTCTTTCCAACAATTTTGACAAGAAAACAGAACAGTTAAAAGCAGGGCTTGTGTTGACCGGATAGTTCCCGTATTTGACCGTTTATTTTGACGGAGAAAGAACAGAAAGAATTACCCCGACGCATGCAGACGATCTGACATTTTATTCTACGCACATCGCAGATGTAGCTAAATCACCCAAGAAAAGATTCCCATCTGAACATCTGAGCTGCTCAGCGCAGCTCACTGTCAGCGCATATGTGCACAGCGAGCTGAAGTTGTGGAGATTGGCTTGAGCGCGTTGCAGAACCAGAGCGCATGCGGGAAGATTCCTCCCACTGAAGGGAGTGTTTTCCAAACCCGGTCTCTCAGAGAGACTTGTCACTTAGAAAATGTTCCCCGATTCTGAAACTTTGGCTGAATAGCGCTTGTTCCTGTCTCCAATGTGGCGACACATCCAGGAGCCGTCTGAGGAGAATCCCAGAATCTCTTCAGCTCAGAAAGCGCATATGATTACGCACAAGCATGACCCGTCAACACGGTCTCACAGTAAGACCGGGTTGGGCCTGTCAGGTTTACGCAGACAATCTTTACATAGAATTGACTTACAGATATAAAATTAATGCAGTAAAATATAAAGCATTTTATTTAAATATCCATTCATTATTTTACAAGCACAGAGAGCCGCATCAGATGGATGGAAGAGCCGCGGGTTGTGACATGTTTTCTCCAGGACCAGAGAGGACGCAAACTCAATACATCTCTTTTATTGTGAGGTAATAATTTCTCCGAGTTTTGCGGTTGCGGGCGGGAGTGTAACACACACGTTGCGGTTGCAGGTGGTAATGGTCCGAAATTCAGCGGGAGCAGCATGAAGAAAACAGTCCCACGCAGGGCTCAACTGCTGCGTTTGTGTTTCAAGTTTTTTTAATGAATTCGATTAAAAATAAAGGCGCCCAGCCCATGTCCGAGGTAATTACACAGTTGTTGGCCCGAAGCGCGACCCGAGGGCCTAGGGCTTCAGTGCAGGACTCTGATCCAAACAGTGCAAATAATCTTCATCCTGGGTATCAGGTGTGACTAGAATCAGAAGCTGACAAGAAGTCTGATACAGTTCCAAAGCAGATGACATTGTAGTTAAGGAAGGAGGTGGAGATAACACAACAGTTGACATTTTTTCTGCACTCAAAAAATGGTCAGATTTCTCTAGGTTTTTTTTCTGGTTTTTCATGGTCCTTTTTAACTCATAAAAGAATGTCTCAGGGCATTTTCTGTCCATCTCAGTATTTTGTAACTCTGTAACTCGAGAGGGCCCAGCCTTCTTCGTCCTGTTTGTGTGCTGACCTCATATGTGTGTGTGTGGTCTTGATTCAAGCCTAGGATGATACCATGTGGACTGTGGTGGTCAGTTTCTGGTGAATTTCAGCCCCACTGGGGGTCCCGATTGGACTGATCAGAAGGAATATTGGATGGTCGTTGCTGAAGACAAGTCAAAATCCACAGTGATCTCACAGACTCTTTTGTGCTTTGTCGCCACAGGCCGTGAAACCAAGGAGAATGGGGTCCTGATGCAAGTGCTGCTAACAGACGGGGCATCTGAAGGTCACTCATCATCCCTCCCACTGCTGCGGAACTGCTGAAAGGGGCCACCACGACTGCGCTATCCTCATGCGAGCTCACCGATGACAGCAGATAAGTAAACGATCTGCTTTAAGCTTGCAGGGTCCACCATACCTCTGCTGATGTTGGTGGTCGCACTCTACATTGGAACCGCCCCTCAGCAACTGACAGAACGAGTGGAAACAGCAGCAGATGGGGGAGCAACGGAATCGACACCTGGTGATTGAGGCTCCTCCTGAGCCCGTCCACACGACACTGTGACCTGCCTCCAACGATGTCAAATTCCAGCGCCCCAAATCTGCCGTCTGGTTTCATGGCTCCCTGACCAAAAAGACATTGCTTTGCCCCCACTACAGTCCCACATAGTCCCGACTGCTAAGCCCTGTGAACCTCGACTCTGCCACAATTAGAGCTGCGTAACCCCCTGACACCTCCCATGCCTCATAGATTGGCTGTCAAAAGAGAAATTGGTATCGGTTCTTGTGACAATCTTTGTTACTGTTATCTTTATCATGGTCATGATTAGCTCAGTTTTAAGCTGTGTTTAAGTCTTGTTTGAAGTAAGAGAATGGTTGACAAGCTAATGACAGATGCCTTAGTTCATATGTTGCCTAATAAAGATGGTTTCATTATGATGTATACAATGTAAACTGCAGTTTCTGTAACCATTGTTGATGGGTGTCCTGGTAATCAGCTCAGTTGATTTTATGTTATTTTATATTTTTACTTAATCATTATAATCGTTATTGTTTGATTTTTTGGTATAATCCTTGAGTTTGACATGATCACTGCTATAATCATCCATTTTCTTACAGGTTGCCAACTATTGAAGCTGCTTTATTTTTGTTACAGGTTGTTACTTATTTTTACAGCCTTTTATGAAGGTCACTACTTCTTTTGTGGTCTTCTGTGTGCTAGAGGTTGAATCTTTGCAGCTGCGACCATTACCCATAATCATAGAATCGTTGTTGTTTTTATTATACCAGTTAGTTAGGATGAACTTCGTTTGAACAGGGGGGAATGTTGGGTAAAACCTGAATTGGATGTATGGAAATGTTCTTGTCTGGGTACCATCTGGTGTTTTTAAATCAAACGAAGGTTCATTCCACGCTCAGTATTTTTTGTTATTACTCTGTAGCTCCGACAGGGAGGCTCGACCTTGCTTTGCAGGTCTGCAGGACCTGTTTTCACAAAAGCTCCCTAGTGAAGTCCAGACGGAGCTTTCTCTGATATACCAAGCACCTGGGAAAGTTTTTCTTTCTGTGAAGGGGGTGGGTGTGTTTATCTTTAATGTGTGTGTGCTATGTAATTTTTCAATAAATCCTTTTTGCAAGCATCTGCTCGTCGAGAGACCGAACAGACAGCCCACTGGTGTGTATCTTCTTTCTCTCCGATTTTGCAGTCTGGTTGTTGATTATTGGTGATTGATTATTGGTAAATGGTATTGATAATCTAAAACCTTATATCTCTAACCCCCTTGTGTGTGTTGGACTTTATTTGAAGTAATCCTGGATTGACTAATAAAATTACCCAACACTGACAAGATAAAGAAAATGCAATGATAATCAGAAATATAAATGTCCTCAGGACAAACACTGTCAGCATTTAGACCCAGGGAAAGAACGAGGTCTAGTGTGTCCCCTGGCGTGTGTGGGGCAAGAAACTTACTGGGTAAAGCTGAAGGAGTCCATCAGGCTGGAGAAATTGCAGTGCAGCAGCAGCATTATGCAGCTAACAAAACATTGGCAATATAAATATAGTGTGTGTGTGTGTGTGTGCGTGCGTGCGTGTGTGTGTGTGTGTGTGTGTGTGTGTGTGCATGCGTGCGTGTGTGTGTGTGTGTGTGATAGCTGTGTCATCTAGCACCATTTATGTCCAGTGTGTGTTCTGACCTCGTTGCAGTGCGTAACTGTCAGGTTTAACCCAAGCCTTGACGCAATGACTTCCTGATTTCTCAGGTCTTTGAAAAGTCGTCTGCTGTGATTGGCTGAGATGTGATACTCCAGATCTCTTCTTGACAGAGTCTAAAACACACGAACAGAACAAAAACCAACAAATGCCATGACTCTGCTTTAAAGATAAACAACAAAACTACGTTTAAACGAGCTTATAGGCATCAAATTCTCCTAAACACATAGGCCATCAGATGAACCTTGTTTGGTTGTGAAGTACATTCCAACCGGCACATATGCACTGCTAGCTTCATAAAAAGAGTACGTTACTGAGCTCAAAGTAAAAGTTCTCCTTGTAGAAAACACAGTTGTTTCATGAGCATCATTCTGAAATGGGACCAGTTCATTTGAGCGTAATAAGTAATGCACCTGCAGTCACAAGGTTGGTTTAGGCCTCATTTAGTAGAGACAAATCCAACACTACTGGATATCAGAAAGCTGTGACTCAGTAAAATACACAAAAACTTCTGAATACATAAACAAAAAGGATTATTGGTATTTCATCCCCATCATAATCAAGAGAAACAAAGACAATCATGGGAACAAGTGTTGTTGTTTACATCTGTAACTTCCCATAACGAGTGCCATGTACTTATCCACCTTATTCCTCGGCTGGCAACTGTCTCCTACCCCCTCTCCAGCTCCTTTAAAGCCCCAAATTATCTACAGCTACACAAGAGCATTTACCTGGCATTCCGACGGACAGGTGGGGCAGTGTCTGAGCCAGGGGTGGGGCTTCAGAGGGGGTTGGGGGGGGGTTCAACGGGCCCCGCCCCTGCAACAAGGCTGATGAGAGGGAACGGCGCCTCTAACACAAACAATGGATGCTGAGAAGACAAGCACTTCCATAACTTGCGTTCAGAGGAGAAGGAGCTTCATTTTTAGTAATGCCTCTCATGCAGGTATATTTGGGTTTGTGTAGGCTGCTCCAGTCAGGATTGAATCATGGCTGCTGACATGGCAAGACCGACGGACTTAGTCATGTCGTAGGTGTAATATACTGAATAAAATGTTGAGCTGCATGACTGGCTTTATTTTTACTCTCACGTGTAACTTCAGGACCTGCTAATTTACAAGTGGATCTCCAAAAGTGTCTTTTGCGGCTCTTGGAGAGCACTGACGCTTTCTTCTCCTCTCCCTCCCTCCTTATCCCAAGGCTCGTTGTCCTGTCTTGTGTGCACAGCGCTTTCTGCATTTTTTCTGGAAACTGGAAACTATTAAAAATGGACCTGGTCAGTTGGTCTCTCAACGTGATTGACAAAATTTTTTCTTGGATATTCGTCGTTTCGGTGTCGGGATTCCTGCTGTTTGGCCTGAGCGGTTACCTGGCTTACTGGAAAATTAACAAGCTTTCGAGGAATATTGGCTCAATCCCGGAGCTCAGGGATGGATTGCATTGTGCTGTGAACGCACTAACTCGTATAATTGTCGAGTCGTAATCTTGGAACTTTGGCTGATATTCAGGCTCTGACAAAGAAGGTAGATTCCATCAAGGAGCAAGTGGACGGATCAGCACGGATTGGGATAGATTAGTTACGCCATTGTTGGATCTAGAGGGGTTGAAGACCAACAGAACACTAAGGCAGAGAGGAAATTATCTCTGTCTGGCCCCAAAACAATTCTTATCTGAATCTGGTGCCCTTGAGCCTGTGAGGCTGAAGTGTAAACTCACCTCAGAAGAAATGTGGAATGCTGCTGTTGCTATGGAAACTCTTCCTATCCCAGCCTGGGCGGGACTGTGACCGGTGAAGGCCGTGGAACCGTATCTTGGAGTCAATGTGCCCTCTAACCCATCATCTCCCTCCCCTGTCCAAACGGAGGTGATGAGTGCGGCCCCATGCGGCTGCACGCACTGAAGTGAGGAGAGTCCCAACCCTACCTCTCCACCTAGTGGACACTTGTGTTGTGTAATTATCCTCATATAAACCTTTTTGATCTGTTACAGTAGCGCCACTCAGGTTGCACATGACCACAGTCACCAATTCTTGTCATGTGTCTATGTTTTTATGTCTGATCTCAGAATCGTCTGTACTGAAACTCTAATTTCCCTCTGGGTTTAATAAAGTATTATTGAATTTGAATTGAATTTGAAGTGCATTATGGGTAAAACTCATCACCAGCTGTCCACCATCATCATCATCATCACATGTCAACAGATAACAACATGTGGCTGACAGAGAAGAAGAAATTGATTTGGCCTCAGGGATTATTTCAGTTCCATTTGCAAGACGGACTGTTCCAGAGAAGATGATCATCGTTACGAGACTCCGCCCACCCCGTCACTAGCTTGTCTCAGCCAGAGAAGACTCAGCCCTGGCTTCCATTCAAAAGGACTCACTGATGGAGCTACGGCTAAGTTATTGCAGTCTTCCTGCAGAGAGGAGGACGGGTTTCCTCCATAAATAATCAGAAACTTTTGTCATTGTTATTGATTTTACTTACACATAAAACCAAACTACTAAAACCATCTTTAGCTGCTGATCATGTAGCCGGTAGCGGTGCAGTCACAGCTGTAACGTAGAGCGTTGAGACGGTCTTAACGGAATTCCCTCTTAATACACACAATGTCCTTCATAATATTTAATTATTAACGATTGAACAAACATCCAAGCATAATCTCTTAATTACAGCTACTCACTCCCTCACCCCTCCTCTCGGTACGCTTCATAGACAACCAGCTGCAGCATGGTGACTCATGTCAGTAAAACATCTTAATAAAACCCCCTGCAGAAAGCATTTCAACAGCCTTCTCTGTTCTTTATTAGTTCAAAACACGATTAGTGAGTCCACACGGACAGATTATCCTCTCTTCTGTCTCGTGGTCTGCAGCAGCTGAGATGTTTAACAACGTGTCCACTTTCTCATTAAGCATTCCTCTTGTTTTGACCTTTTCTTTCTTGTGCCTGCTCATGTTTCTGTTGGGGTGCCATCTATCCAGCTCCACGGACACCTGCCTGTTGGATTATTAAACCACTGGTTGGTCAGATGTTGCTGCTGTCAGTCGGGAACGAGCACGGTGTTGGATAGCATCTTATTTTCCTTCCCTGTGTCTGGACTGAAGGTGCCGTATGCATGGCGAGCCTCACGGCAGTGATGCACCTTATGCAGCCCCTCATGGAGCGCGAGTCCGGCGCATCGGGAGGGCCAGCGACGCGTGGATGTGGATGGCTGATGTTTGAGGACGGACAGGTATGTTATCAGAAATCTCCAAATTTTTGACTAATAAATGACTGGAAAAATCCAAAGTGAGAAGTGGTCGTACCGGTCCACTGGGTGGGAGGCTGGACGTTCCTGCAGCCTGGGGGATCTCCGACAGGTGGGGTGGGGGAAGGCCAACAGCGCCGTTCTTCTCCAGAATTCACAGCTGGTCAGTCGGCCACCGTCGTCATGTTGTAACATCTTGTTAGATCAGTCAACTATCACTGAAAGCTCAGTCACCAAATACAGGGAGCCACATCTAACATCATATTATCATGGGAGGGCTCGGGCATTTGCTCCGACCCTGGTCTGGTTCTGATTTGTTCCGCTAGTGGTCTGAGATGTATACTGGGCACAGTACAGGATTCTTGTTTTTCATGGAGATGTTGAAGATTGTTAGGGCTTTACGTTTTGTGTGTGTGTGTGTGTGTGTGTGTGTGTGTGTGTGTGTGTGTGTGTGTGTGTGTGTGTGTGTGTGTATAGAAGACCCTTGTGAGTAAAACCATATTTGAAACATCAGTTAACTAAGGATACACATTGTTGTAAACCAGATGCAGTGATGATATTATATTGGGAGTAGTGAAACGGACATTGTAATGTACCCAAAAGCCAAGTATTTACATCAGTGCAAACAGAAACTGACTTTTGAATCTGCAGACACAAACACCCCATCTGTCTGGCCTCCAAACAAGAAGCACGGCATACGGTCTTGTCACCAGATAAAGTCAAGGTCAAAGTCATTTATTGTCATTTCTACCACATGTGCAAGACATACAGAGACGTAATGAGCCTAGCAACCTTTGCTTGGCTGGAACAAAAGTCATGCAGGAGACGAGACTCTCTGCACACTCTGAATAAAGTTCATCTTCCTTGAATCATAAATGACTTTTTATAACATGATAATTGCATAAGTGTCTCTCCTGTTAAATCCTAAAGTGTGTGAATAATGTGAGCATTAATAATGATGTGTTAAAATGAATATTTTTCCTGTAATGATTCATTTCAGATCTTAAACTGCACCAGATCCGTGTTTGTTGGTTTAACAAGTTCATCTATCAGTTTACTCGTGCATCATACGATTAATATTAAGGTTTTAACATTCATTTCACGAAACTTTTATAACTTTTCCACTAAGAGTTAACCTCTCAGTATGTGAGTGAAGGCGAGACTTCTGAGATATTTTGGTAATGTCTTTTAAACGTATCACATTCTGATTCGTCTAAGTTTATAAACAAAAATTGATAAATACAGGAATCACGTCCTGACCTAGTCAGTCGTTGCCGTTCACTAAACAAGGCCAGTCAGGTGAACAAGCATTTTGAGACCATCCATTCTATTGACCCCAAGGTCAAATGCTCTCTGCAACGCTTGTGAGTGATTTCAGACACAACGGCTCTTTTAGGAGCCACTCAACACTTCTGACATTCTAACCTGCAGACCCTGGTTGTACCTCGTGGCCGTACTAGAAACCTGAATTCAAAGTAACTGCGCCTCTTTGGGTTCCTGTGGTTTCGACGTCTGGTGAACCTCACCACACGGGCCTCTTTCGTCCGGACCGCCGGTGGGCAACCGTCACACAAAGGGTGTGTATCATGATTGCGTTGGATGGTTTTATAAATAAAGTTTAGCTTACCAAGCCGTACAGCCAAATTTATTTTACAACTCAAACTTCACAAGTTCAATCTCAGATACTCACAAGGTTCTGCTAAAACATCCAGCTTCCATTCCATCACTTTAGCAAGTTATCTGTGCAACCATCATGTCATTCATACCTTGTCATGTACAATCATTTAGTTTAGAAAAGAGAATTCAAATAATTTTTATAACTTTATTCTTGACTCTGTCTGAATTAATGTGAAGTGGTCCCTGAATAA